GACTATCTCACCTTGGTGCTTCTATGAAAACACGACTTACCAGGACAGGTCCTCCCAAAGGCTCAGGTCGGGCTGGGGAAACTTGTTTGGGTTGGGGGGCCAATGACCCCCAGAAAAATCAGTGGGGGGCCACACACACAAACCCCTCACTGATGTGGCGCCCAAGGAAACAGCCAGTCCCCCCCCCATTCTTCTTGCACCTCAGAGCCTAGGGGGGCCCAGCCACAAGGGCTCTAGCCACAAGGTGGAGCAGTGGGGGGCGGGAGCGCCAGCACGGGCTCCCCAATGCAGGGAGGGTCCTGCGCCTCGGGGGCCGGATCCAGACAAGCCAGGGCCACATCTGGCCCCTGCGCCTAAACCCAATAACGTGACTGTTTGATGTAAGGGTATTTACTTGGTCAACATCACATGTCAAAAGATACCGTATGTTTTAATGGTTATAAAGCTTTGAGCAAAAGTATAAACATCTATTAAGTTCTCAGACAGCATTTTTCCTCCTTTGCCTGTGTGGTTTGTGTGGTTTTCTGTTTGTGTGTGCGTGTGCAGTGCAATGGACATTAACCAAAGGTGGATTGCAGCAGGCTAGTGAGCCTATGTGGCCAAAACTCCCTGGCTTAGCACATTCTAACACTCTTGTAATCCTCGTCTTCATGGTCACTGTAGAAAAGCTGGAAGGTCTCGGAGCAGTCTGCCTCATCTGGGGCTGCCATGGGAAAGCTACCTGGAAATAAAACCCTCGTGGGCTTTGTCTCTGCTATTACATTGCAAACGGAATCTCCTTTTTCTGTCTTCACTGCACAGCTGTAGCCACAACAGGGCTTTGGTTCTGCTTCGCTCAGTGCTTTCCCACCCGCTAACCGAAGCAAACGGGGCAACTGTAACTTCCTATTGAAGAGTAAAGATTCCGTCCCCAAAAAGCACGTCTGCCCCGGGAGATCCGAGCCTTGTCCACTACCTTTATCTTTGCCGGTAGCCGATTCTAGCAATGCATCCTCTGCGAATTCTTTACACGATTCCTGTTGGCAAGTAGCCGGCTGCCCTTTGCCAGCGAAGGCTGGGTAGTAAATTGTTCTCTCTTATCCTTGTTAACTTGTAATGTAAACAAACCTAAAAACGATTTCACTAAACCGTGTCCCTGAAGAACTAATTGTAGCATTGCAATTGCTGCCCCCTTCTGAAACATTGCTAGCTTGAGCCCGTGTTCGCTGTCGCCTAGATCAACTCCTTTTGAGGTATGTAGAGTATTATGCAACTTCAAAACATATCGGAAAAATCCCGGCGGCTCAGCCCTGCGGCTGTAACTGAAGGCTACCGAGCACAGCCGTCGTACCTTGTTACCTCTGAGTGCAGCTACATCTAATGGATTGCTGCCTTTTCTTCTTGCCAAACCCTCATTCCAAACTCCA